TGATGTTTGACGCTTTAGTATATCTTGCATTCTGAAGAACTTGTCGTCAAACCATGTCTTGACTTCAGTGTATAGGGCTTTCGTTACTCTTTCGGGATCCGCCTGGACGTCAGCCTTCGCGAGGAGGTCCTCTTCCTTGACAACCGCAGCTCGCTTTGCAGCGGCGGCAATATATACTCGCATGGTGGCAACACGGTCGGCATCGAATATCCTGAACTGTTGTTCGGACAAGACTACCTTTGACATTTCTGCCGTAAAGCAGAGTTCTACATATTGACCGTTTTCGTCTGAGTCCAGTCGGTAACTGCAAGTCGACCGTGGAGCACAGTGGGACATGGTACGTCTCCTCGATGTCGGAGTAGAGTGGGTGCCCCCACTTGGGCATGTGTCCCCGCTGTTCTTCAGCTACAGTGATCAGCACACTGTTGTCTGGAATCCTGTGTGGGTACTGTGAAAGGGTCCTCTAGTGGAGTGGCCCCCAGTAGTTCCATGTCATCGTGTAGTTCTGTATACCACACTTCCATAATATGCGCCTCGAGGTCAGCATTCGATTCCTCATATATCGTGGGAAGCCGTCCATCCTCCTGTGGTGATTCGGCTTATGGGGCTTCTCTTGCGGTTCCGTCCTGTGTCGGTATATCCGCCAATTCCTCAAACTTTGTCATATCCTGGTCGAAGCCCGATTGAGGTTTGGTGGTCTTCAGGCACTGGATGATTCTTGAATGTGCTGATCCAGTTATATCGTGAGTGTTAAGAGCGGTGCCTTCTACTTCATAATAGTGAAATCCTGAGTTCACATCGCTGTCGTAGTGGACCAGTGTGCAACTGTCAGCGTAAACCGCCACCAGAGGTAGCTCGTGCATACTCTTGGCTAACCCAACCGAAACTACGCACTCGATGCGGCAGAAGTTTCTGATAAGGTATTGTAGAGCCAGATGTACCCTAGGAGATAGTCGGCTTGCACTTGTCATCTGAAGCGTCCCCTTATTGGTCAGGACATAGCCAAAATGTCATAGAAGGTCTCCCCGCAGGAAAACTGGCCACGAACGTCCAAACTGTCCGTAGACCAGCGTTGTCGGATCCGATCTCTCTGGCTATCAAAGCTCCAATATAGAGTGAATGTCGCGCCTCGCCGCATTGTATCTGAACGTCGCGGTTCCCCACTCGACTGATGGCTTGACCCCTGACGGGATCGTTTCTTACGACCAGGAGTGGGCCATTCCAGCCTCCCCAGACGTCCTGTTGTTCTCTCTCTCTCCCTCTCTCTCTCTCTCTCTCTCTCTCTCTCTCTCTCTCTCTCTCTCTCTCTCTCTCTCTCTCTCTCTCTCTCTCTCTCTCTCCTCGCTGCCTGATCTCGAGGTAGACATGCGCCGGCATCTGGCTCTCCTCGAACTCCAGACTGCCTCCTCAACGTGCAGCCGCACCGCCTGGTGATCGGTTACTCCCAGTGGCCTGACTCCCTGGAGCGAGCCGGCCTCGCCCTGCATCCCCCGCCGCTGCTCGACCCGGGCGCGGGCCGCCTGCCACGCGCGCGCCAGCGGGGCCACCATCGCAAGGGGCTCGACCGCGGCCTCCGCGCCCAGTTCGAGCGCGCCCTCGGCAAACGCACTAACGTTTTCGCCCGAGGCCATCACATTGGCGAGCCCCCCCATGCTCGCCACTCCGAAGGAGCACAGCAGCAGCGCCCGCAAGATCCGCGGAACGCCCTCACTCCCGAGGAGGACGCGCAGGCTCGAGCTCGGCAGTTTGAACTCAGCATCCTGCTCATCCTGCGCGAACGCCATCGGCGGCACGCAGGCGAGCCGTTCCCCGCAACGGGTCGCGCAGGCGACGCCGAGAGCCAACCCGGACTGCACCGGAGACCACGCGGGCCTCAGCCCAGACCGTTCGAGCCGAACGGTTGCGGGACGGTTGCGGGCAAAGCAACAGTTCCCCCAGCTCGGCCGAGCGATGGCGACGCGCAACGCGGCCCCGAAGCTCTGCCCGTCCGCCATAAGACACCCCCCCCCGCCCCGCGACATCCACTACCGCCATGGCCCCGCCCCGCCCGCGGCGGGCCAGGGCCCGCGGGCGGGGCGGACGTCGTCGACGCAGGGGGGCCCACACATCGACGCGGGCCCGGTGCAAATACCGCGGGCGCGCGGAGGGTCCCACTTGAGCGCGGCCCACCCCCGCCGAGTCTGGACTGTCTCCAGTCACTCAGTGCGTGCGCCAATCCCCCCAAGTCGCGCCGCGGCGGCCTCGCCGTCAGCACGCGGGCGCGGCCTTCGACCCGCTCGTGCCCGAGTGGCAGGGCCCCCGTCCCGACGGGTCACGCGGGGCCCCGCCGCTGCCGGCGCCCCCACCGCTGCGGCCTTCCCAGGGACGGCCCCCTACGACCCGTCAGAGCTGGCGGGGCTGGACGAGCTGCCTGAGCCTTCGCCACAAGCGCCAGCACATATTGCAGACAAAACCCTATTCCTTCAGGTCTGGCACATCGTCGAAGTAAGTCCAGCTCAGCTGCGACCTGCCGTTCGCCCAGCCACAGCCCCCGACCTCACGGGGCCTGGCCACCTCGCGCGTCTTCGTGCACGCGACGAGGTAGCTACCGACCTCCTCGGCGCCCTCTCGAGAGGGGGCTGTTCCTCTCCGCCGCCGGTCTGGACGGTCGCCCAGCTGCCCTCGCCAGCGCGCCCACGTCCGCGCTCCGCCCACGACGCTCGTCGCGGGGGCGTCGCCGCCCCCGCTGGCGGCGCGGCGCCATCCGCTATCCCCTCCTAAGCGGCGGCCTCCGGGGTCGCTGCCCCGCGCGGCCCGCCTTCGCTGTCCAAGGGTGCCGACGCCAACCAACCAGCGCACCTCAAGGGCCGCGCAAGTCTCGCCCGCCACGGTCGCAACTTTCGGCACCACGACGTTCCCCCCTAGCACTGGCAAATTCGCCGGGCCCCGGATGGCCCCGCCCCCCTGAAAGAAACATCTGCGAACTGCCGCTGGAGCCCGGTCACGACTGCGCCGCGCGCCCTCGCCCTGGCGCCCGCCCCCTCCGGCCACAACCTGCCCAGGCAGTCGCGGTCGCCCGCCATGGCCGACCGGGATCCTCGCCCGATCCGGGTGCTCTGTCCAGAATCCCGACACCTCCTGGGAGACGAAAAGCTCGACCCCGCCCCCACGCGCACGCCGCTGGCTGACCCGCTGCCGCGCCTCGGCGTACACGGCGGGCTTGCGGGGATCACCAGCCCCACGTCGTCGCACCTCGGCAGGAAGTAGCCCCTCTCGAGATTCGAAATCTCCCGTCACAGATCGGAGCTCGTCTGGGTCCACAATGGGCCCAGCATGATGCACATGCGGGATACCACGAGCGGCCCCTTCTGGCATCTTGCGCCCACTCAGCGAGTCTTCCTCGCACGCCCCAGCGTGGCCACCACTCCTCCGCCCACGAAAACGAGGCGCTGCGGCGGAAGCCCACCGCGGTCGTCGCAGCGCAGCACCGCCCACACCTCGACAAGGCGAAACCACACCACCCCACGCAGGTAATTACTGCGCAAAGCCGTCGTCCAGGACCAGCCACTCCAGGGCCCCGATGAACGCGGCAGGGAAACACGCTGCCCTCGTCGTCGGGCCCTTGCCCACGCCGACGAACATCTGCATGTTCGCGACGACATGCTGCGCCTCCGGCCGAGCGGATAGCCCGTCGATCGCATCGACACCTGCGACCCGCTCCGTCCACACCAAGAGCACGCAGGTTCTGGTTGGACACCGTCGGCCCATACGGCTCGGCCGCCTGGGCACGCACGCAGACGATGGAAAGCACGGTCGTCACGGGCCACGGGACCCCGTGACCGCGCAAGAACCACGTGCGCCTCGTCCGCATGGCCCGCACGTACGACCTCGCCATGTTAATACGCGCGCGGCCCGCGATGCCGTCCTTCGCCCGCTCCGGGCCCATGTAAGCCTGCGCCGTCTCAAGGGAGGTCGCTCCCATCTCCTCGAACAGCACGATCTTCCACCGAGCCCACTCCTGCACGTCCTGCCCGTTGCGTCTCGCCTCCGCGGACGGGCGGCGCCTCCGCGCAAAGCTCATCCGCGCCATCGCACGGGCTTCCGGCGGCGGTGGGGCCTCGGACATGCTTCGGTCGCCCGTTAGTCGGGGCACGCCGCGGCGTCCTCCCGCATGGCCCGCTCGGGGCAGCCGTGGCACGCACTCAAGACGTTTCTGCACGGGTTTCTCGGCCACGGCCCGATCCACGAACGACATCAGCAGCTGCCGCGCCTCCTCCTCGCGGCCTCCGCCACCTGCACGCGGGTCCCTCCGAACTCGGCACCCTCTGCCTGCAGCGTAACGCGCAGGCCGAAGACATCGTACTTATTAGCACCTTGCTGACCCGCCGCCGCGCGGCGACGAAGGCGCACGACCCAACGACCAGCATCTGCGCAGAAGCGTGGTTCGAAAACGGCCAAACGCCTAAGCCAAAATGACCACAGTCAGCGGGCACAGTGAAAGGATACACCAAATGCTGTACAGAAATAGGACAATACCTATAGATTCAAGTTAGGAGAAAGAGAGAGAGGGAGGCAAACATAAACACACACACACAAACAAACAAACAACAACAAACACAACACAAAAAAAACGAGGGAGGGAGAGCAGAGAGAAAGACAGAGGAACAGAGAGACAATAATAGCGATGGAAAGAGAAAGAAAGAGAGAGAAACCAAAAAAAGTGGTAGACCATGAGGTTGATACATATGTAGTGAGAGAGACAGGCAGGCAGGCAGACAGACTGACAGGCACACACACACACACACACGCAAACCGAGAGACTGAGAAAGCGGAGATGCAGAAAGAGAGACGTAGAGGGGTACACATACGTACGGTATCGACTGACTGGCAGCCTGATAGATACAGAATGAAGCACAGGATCAACGACCTCAACAGCAATAGCAACAGCAACATCGTGAGGAGGAGCAGAGAGGCACCAGACACGCACGGGCCGCTGGCACGCGGCGCCAGAAGGGTCGGGCTCCTCGAAGAGGTGTTCCAGCACCTCTACGCGCAGCGGTATGTCAGACTGCACCCAGTCGGCGCCGCTGCGGACGAACCCGTTTCCCCCTCGTCGGGCGTTGACTACTGAGGGGGCGATCAATGCGGCAGGGGGCGGGGGGGGAAACCTGCATCTTTCGCGCCCCTTGGGGCCCCAGGGAGCCCCATTCCAGCCCTTCCTGGGCACAACGGACGCACTTCTCTCCACCCCGCCCATATTTCATCGCCCCCCCCATTGTGCAACGCCCGACCTCGGGAGCCCCCTCGGGACCCGGGAGATCTGGCGGGCCCCGTGGGGCTCTCCGCCCCCGCGCTGTAAACGTGGCCGGGGAGGGCGCGCCGCAGGAGCTCGTCCCTGGCGGAGAAGCTCATGCGCCGCGGCGCCGCGGCCCGGGGAAGGCGCCGGCGGGCGCGCTGGCGCGCCAGCGCGAGGCCTTCGACAGAGGCCTCCTAGACGGGGTCCGAGCAGATGCGGGGTCCGAGCATCGGCACAACCAGCATGAAGGAAGTCTGGATCCACATCGAGCAGTATCGCCGATGCATCGGCGATGCTGCGCGAGTCTCCGACCCCATCTGCTCTGACCCCAGCTGGGAGGTCCAGTCGAGTCCCCCGCTCAAGAGCGGCTGCTGAAAAAGGGGCTGCCCAAAAACCTGGATCACCGACGATGTGTTTCTGTCGCGGGATATGACGACCTCTATCCCAGGCTTCGTGGGGTTTCGAATGGACCAGAAATTAGGGGCCCAACCCTGGGATATACGATGGGTGGGCCTCCATCCTCGAGAGCGGTGTGTCCGAATAGCCCCCTTGGAGTGTATCCCAAGATTTCCCCCTTCTCCTGACCGGCCAAACTTTTCGGGCGGAACTCGGGGATTGGGGGATCGTCTGCGAATATTGGCCTCTGGGGCCCGTCACCGTGCCCCCTGACAGCCAGACATGGATCGGGGACGCGCAACTACCCCCTGTGGAAGGGGCGGGGCCATCGGGGCCGCGCATTGAAAAAAACGTGTCGGAGGATCTGTGGAAGGACCGCGGACGAGCCAGGCTGTGAAACGATGGGCAGGGCAGCTTCTGCCGAACCCCTCAGGACATACAGCCGGGTGGGCGCGCGCGCACGTCTCGTGCTCAGCGGTCCGTTCCATGCATCCTGTTCCAGAGAGACCGCGCGCAGAGCGGGCGGCGCGCGCATCCCGTCATGCCCCAGCGGTCCCGATGGCTGGCAGCCTGCGGGAGCCCTAGACACGTTCTGAGGGCCCCCCCCCTGGGCATGAACCTCGCCTCACACCCCATGACTCCCGCCTGCGGGCCCCGCCTCTTCTCCGGCCAACGTGACGACCATCTCCGACCATGCTTATAAGCGGCGCCTGCAGAAAGTCTAAGCTTTCTGTGTGGGCAGCGACCACACACGCACACACACGCGCACACACACTTAGTCGCCATCAAGACACCACAGGCAAATGGTCATGACATCCAGCATAGGCCAAATGTGCTGCCACGACCCTCCGACACAGACCGACGGACAGGAAAGGACAAGACAAGAAAAACACAGAACTTGACCAAACCAGGAGAGAAACACTGACCAGCAGAAACACTGACTGAGAAAGAAACTGGGACTCGGACGGAGACGACCATACAGACTAGCACAGAAAACAGATGCCGAGATGGAGGCCAAGACAGATGCCAGGGCTGACATGGACACGAACAACAAATGGATACCCACGTAATTACCCTCTGGATCTCCCCCGGGGTGCGATTTGACAACGATTTCGTGGCGAACACAGCCCTGCAGACACGGGAACCCATGTAAGCCAAAATCGAAAACGATGAAAAAAACATACCGTAATCGAGAAGCACAGAATTCAAAAGCAAGATACAGGTTCACAGGCTGCCAGAAAGAGATCGACTGACAGTAAAACAAACAACGAAATTACCTGAACTGCCGTTTGTGAATGTTGGACCGTGCTTGGTGTTTACGGATTGCACGCGCATGCGCAACCGCTAAGTCGTTACTGAATCAAGAGGTTGTCCTACAGATTTAAGCTCGAACAAACAAACGAAGTATGCGAAATCTGACGAAGATAAGCTCAAGCAACCTGGTTCGGATGCTCACACAACTTGCAGCCTCACTCGCTCAGCCGCATGCCACTGACCCGAGTGGACAAAGCCATCGCCAATGCGGACGAAGCGTCATAACATACCTAAGCCACGGATCGAAGAATGAGCGCATAAGGAATTCTGCCCAAGCTAAACCATGAACCTGGCGCGACCTCATCAACGAGCATCACCCCTGCTGAAAGTATACATGTGCCCAGCAGTAGGGTGCTACGCGATTCAAGGCACACTACAGCACAGCAAGACATAGCTTAGTACCACCTAGCATCCCATGACACAGCAGCATTGCGCAGCAGCACTGAACATTAGATCATGGTGCAGCATCATTATGTGCAGCCTGTCCCTCCTTTTCCTGCTCTCCTCCTCCTCCTCCTCCTCCTCCTCCTCCTCCTCCTCCTCCTCCTCCTCCTCCCCCTCCTCCTCCTGCTCTTCCTCATCCGTTTACTCCTTATGTTCCTCCTCCTGCTCCTCCTCCTCCTCCTCCTCCTCCTCCTCCTCCTCCTCCTCCTCCTCCTCTTCCTCCTCTAATTCTTTTAGTTCCTGAAAAGGGGCGGTCCGTTCCGCAAACCAGCCACTTCCCTGACATAGAGATCGAAAACGCTCCAGGAGAAAACCCAAGGCCCGCTACGAGAAAAAGAACGACCTGGCGCGGGCGAGAGTCCCTGGGGTTTAGACCGCCAACGCCGCCTCAGACAGTGGGAAAGGGGAGCCCCAGTAGATACCACTCTGGTGCTAACGTCCCCCTCGGAGCCCGTCGAGGGCCTTGCGCGCGAGCCTAGCCGCGGCTTTTCCTGGCCAGGGGAGCACAACAGTCCGTTAGGAGATGGGCCTGTCGTCGCCCATAGGCCCCGCACGTCCTGCAGAAAACTATCGCGTCCCCCCCCCCATCCCATAGGACCCCTTTTCCAGGCCCGTCGCACCCGCCCCGAATCACCCACAGCTTATGGGATGGGCGGGACTGGGCAAACAACCTGGGGAGTCCTGGGCATATCTTTGAAACGACCCTGGCCCCCGAAGCAAGTCGGACCCCGCAGACGGAACAGCCCCAAGCTCGACCGAGCCCACACATCTGGTGGCCCATGTCGGGCCGAACCAAGAGGAGCGCTTCTGGATCCTGAGCCCGAGGACCAGGTAGGGCACCTCTGTCAGGCCACACTAGAGCAGCCGTCCTTTTCAGGACCCCCAATGGTGGCTGCACCAGGCAACGGCCTGCGATGCGGCTTCACTCCAGCGGCTCTCGAACTCCGCGAGCAGCGGCTGGCCTGGGTGGAGCCTCGCGCACAGCCGCGCCCTCGCGTTCGCATCGCGGTTCCCTGCGAAGGCCTGCAGGGAGGTCCCGCGGCGACTCGCACCGGCCCAGCTGGCCTGAGCCTTCACCCATCGCAGGTCAACGCACTCGGCCCTGAGCTCATCGGCCTGGCGGAACACTAGCTTCCACAGGTCAGCGCACTTGCACTCGTGCCCGCAGCAATGGAAGGCCCTCTCACGAAGTCGCCCCTGGCCCCTTTGCAGTCCGTGTAGATGGCCAATGGCTCGACACTCACCTCCAGCGGCACTCGGTTCAGGGCGCACAGCTCGGCGCAGCCACTCACCTGGACCCACCCAGGCGCGCAACAGCACATGCCGCCGAGGACCGAGCCGACACCGTCCACCATCACGGCCGACCACCTCACGCGAGTGAGCCTGGGCAACTCGGGACACATCGCCGAGCCGTCGATGCATATCACGCCACTGAAGCACACGTGGTGCGCCAGCCCAGCCCTGTGGCAGTTCTGGTCCACGCTGGGCGGCGGCGCCTGGTCGATCCCCTAGTTGATGAGGCCACGTGCCATCCCGAGGTCGTTCTCTGGCGCTCTTCTCCCAGCGACCGCCACGTTCTGGAACCCCAGCCCGGTCGCCCACGTCACGATCGCGGAACAAGTGAGGAGGCGGTGGTGCGCCGTGCCCGTCGCCCCCTCGCACCACTGGCAAAGCGGGCTGAGCGCCGCCCGTTATTCATCGAGGTCGCTCTGCGTTACGAGCCCCCCTGCGACGTGGGCCTCCAGCAGCTCTGCCTCCAACTGCTTGCCGCCGCGGCGAAGCCCCGCCAGCGCGGCACGGAGAGGCTCCTGGTCGGGCGCCCTCCCTTCCAGCTGCTCGAAACCCTCGTGCGTTGCCACCTGCCTCACCAGGTAGCGGTAGACCCCAGCCTCCACCAAGCTGGCAGTCACGTGCGGGCCGAGGAACTGCGGGTCCATGACGCGGCCCCGCTCGCCCCCCCAAAGCCCGGCCACGGCGCTCCAGCGAGAGGCAGACTGCCCCCGCTGGACCCGCGACGTCGCCACAGCTGTCGGGCTTCACCTCCAGCACCTTCTTGAAAGCCGCCGCGGGCCTGTGCCCCAGGAAGGCGGCCTTCGCCCGCGCTCCGAAGGGAAGCTCTTGCGCGGCGTACGCGGGGTCATGCTTCCAGGCTCGGCCTTCCTGCAGCGCGAACAGCACCGTCCGAGACATGCTGCCTATATCGCCCGTCAGGGCCTTCCAGTTCACCGAGCGAGCACGCTGCAGCGCCCGCGGAGGTACCCCACTGAACCTGGCGCCGTGCCAAATCGAGGCCTGACCGCCCGTCCTGGACACCTGGGAGAGCCTCTTGGCCCCTGCCTTTCGCAAGGCCATGTAGCGTCCTGCTCGCCGCCTGAGACGGTTGACCCTCTGGCGCAGCACCCGCCAAGACGCCCCCTTGGACATCACGAAGTCCACACCCATGTTCTTCGCGGCCCTCACGCGCCTCAACTGCCAGCGCTTGAGCCCGTCCTCCACGCGACAAGCAACCTCCCAATCAGAGCTGAGGATCTGGACCTCGGTCGCCGAGATCTTGAAGCCGATGCCCCCCAGGCTCTGGCACCGCACGTGCGTGGCCCCGACCAATATGTGTTCAGCCTGCGCCCTCTTAGCGTGGACCGCCAGTGCGATGTCGCCCACCACCGCGTAGGCCTTCACCGACTGCCAGGCCTTCAGCATCGCGCCGAGCACCTGGATGAGGACGACCCGCAGGAGCGTGGTCGCGAAGGAGCACCCTGCCAAACGTTGTAGGGCTACCTGGAACGCCTCCGTCTTCCAGCGGTCCAAGCACAGCCTCCGCTTGCCCCCGTAGAGCTGGAGCAGGATCGTGATCCTCCTCAGCGGGAGGCCCTCCCTGCTTGCCGCGCGAACCATCTGGCGGTGCGCGACCCTCTCGCACGCATTGCTGAGGTCGAGCAACCCAGAGATGGAGACCAACCCCAGGGCCTTGGACCGGTCCGCATCGAAGCTCTGGAGCCACACCGCATCCCCGCAGGACTTCCCCGTACCGCCAAAGAAGTAGCCCCAGTCCGTCGCCTTCCCCCAACGCTTCGCCTCCTGGCGTCGCACCTTGCCCAGCAGCCTGACCAGCGACGCGATGAACCCGATCGGTCTCCAGCCACCGCCAGGCTTGGCCAGAAAAATAAAAACCTCCGCGATCTGCGCGGCGAACCGGGCACCCGCCTCGACGAGATGCAGGCACGGCGCCAGG